AAAAGGCCCCCAGGAGGCCTCCAAGAGGATCCCAAGCGGCCCCAAGAGGCCCCCCCGAGGCACCCATGACGCCGAAGAGCCCCCCACGACCGCCAAGAGACCCCCAAGACGTCCCAAGACGCCCAAGAGATACCCCAAGAGGCTCCGAGAAGCATCCAAGAGACCTCTGGCCCTTTTGCTTGTTTTCCTCCTCCTCCTTTCTCCTCCTATCCCTTTTCATCATCCTCCTCCCCCTCCGCCTCCTCCTCCTCCTCCTCCTCCTCCTCCTCCTCCTTTTCCTCCTCCTCCTCCTCCTCCTCCTCCTCCTCCTCCTCCTCCTCCTCCTCCTCCTCATCCTATTCATCCTCCTTTTCCCCACTCCCTCATCCATCCATCCAATTTTCTCCTTCGCCCCCTCTCTCCTTCACACGGTTCGGCCGTCCCCCTCTTTGCTCCCGCACTTCCCTGATCACCTCTCACCTCGCCTGGACATCGTTTCTGGATGGGCTGGTTGGGATACTACTCTTGTCGCAACCGCAGGCGAAGGCGCCAGCGGCGAGTCGAGTCAGCTCGGGCCACGAGCGGAACTAATTGCCGGCGCGCGCGCGGAGCAAAGCAGGACCTATCGCCGGGGGGAACGGCTGCGCAGGGGCAGAGCAGCAGCGCCGAGGACGGGGATTGCCAGCTGCAGGGGCTGCCAGGGAGCTGCAAGCGTGCATATACCATGGGGGCTGGATCCCCAGATATGTGAATTGGACACATGCACGATTAACCAACCAGGGTTGGAGATGAAGCCAGGAAGGCAACCAAACGTACACTGCATCAGCTGCCAGGAGACCATAATGGCCATAAAACTGGTGCATGGGGTGGCGCCACCAAAGTCGCACACCGAGACTCCTGAAGGGAGTACTGATCCTGCATACAACCATCCACGGGGTGTTCCCGGGAGGTCCAGCGAAGTAGCCAGGAAAACGATGGATGTAATCGACACCGTAACTCGCCTGAACCACCGGATCAGGACAAGCCAAGCGCACTCACGAACAGGGACGCCGACGTCTGAAAGCTGACCAGGACCAGGGCAATCCACGTCTCAGGCACGGGGTCGAGTGAACACGAGAGTGCCGTGGGCATCGCCGCCAGGAACCATGGACGTAGTCAACAGTGTCATCCGACAGCCAGGAGAGCACAGGCTAAACCACGTGCACTCAGGGACTCCATGCGCCAACGATGGGGTTGGACCAATGGAGCTGGGGGGACCCGGGGCCGGGGCTGACAGGGCCGCTGCGACGCCCAGCCACCTGAGCGGTGGGGACCAGGACGGAGCGAGGCAGCGCTGTCCGCACGCGGGAAGCAAAACAGCTAGGTGCGAGGCAGCGCTGGTGGGGATACGCGAAGCGTCTAAAATTGCAAGCAAGTCTCCAGCGAGAGCGCGACTCCCGAGCGCCGAAAGAGCGATCCTTTAACAAATTGTAGGGAAGTCCCAAGAGAGAGCACGATGCCTGAGCAAAATGCAAGGGACATCTGGAGTGGGGTTCCTGGCTACATTGCGTCGAAGTTTCAGGCGGGAGCCGTTGTTGTTATTGTTGTAATCTGGGGGCCAACAACCCAGTCTGAGCCCCGTGGTTTTCCCTGATAAAAAAACCAGGTACGAGCCCCGGAGGGGGGTGATCAACAATAACTGTTTTTCATGTGTGAGAGTTCAACCACCACAACAACAACAACAACAACAACAACAACAACAACAACAACAACAAACGTTCAACCCTATTCGTTCCTTCCTGCCCGCGCGCCATTCAACACGTAATCCCAAACCCTCGGTACCCGCCCTCCTCGTCTTCGATCGTACTCCCCTGGGGGCATATTGTCGTTACCCGACATGTGTATTTAGCGCAGCCCCTAAAGCAGGTGAGCAGCGGACGGATGGAAGGGGAATGGAGAAAGATGGAGCACGAGAGAGATTAGCAGGAGGGAGGTTTGGAGCAAAACACACATGGCAGAACCAGACGGGCAAATCGGGCGGGTGGACCCTGGAGGGCGGGTCCGGAAGGCGGGCCCAGGCGGCCAGGTCGAGCAGGCGGGTTGCTGAAGCGTTAGTCCTGCATGAACCGCGAGGAGGTTTCGAGCGATAGCGCGATTCCCAAGTAAATCGTGAGAAAAGTCAAAGCGAGAGCGCGATTCCTGTGTCGAGGGCGCGGCGTCTGACTGAATTGCGAGGAGCTCCCACACGAGAGCGCGATTCCTGCGTAGATTGTAAGGAAGTTCCGCGCGTGAGCGCGACTCTGGAATAAACTGTGAGGAGAGATCAGGCGGGAGGCGCTGATGTTGCAAATCAGGGGCCAAGGGCACAATCTGAGCCCCAAGGCTTTCCCTTGAACATAAAACAAAGTGCGAGCCCGGGGAGAAGCACTTTGATGGAAAAAGACCACGATCACAGGGGGGGATCGACAATAATTAGTCTTTACACACGAGACTTTAACGAATGCAAGAAGAAGAACAAGAAGAAGAGAAGAAGAAGAAGAAGAAGAAGAAGAAGAAGAAGAAGAGGGGGCCATGAAATCGAATAGACCTCATGGCCCTGGCCACGGTATCCACTCACGCTTTTGCGTCGGCGGCTAGGCAGAGTCACTGCGCTGGCGAAGGGGCGCAGGTGGGATGCACGAGACGCGAATCAGGCCGCAGTGCACGGGGCAGGGAGAGGAGGCCCGACGCGGGCAAGAGGGAGGGGGGAGCTGGGCCCGCTCAGAGGGGGCCGGCAGCGGCGGGGGGGGGCGCCGGGGGCCACACACGCGCACACACACACACATATATATATATATATAAGAGTATCGTTTAACCGATCCCCATCCCCAGCGGTGTGGCCTGGGCCCCCCTAGATGGAGATATGGGTCGTTCCCTTCGGATTTCGAGGGGTGTATCCCCAACTGGGATGGCAATTTGGTGGGGGTCTCGACGGGGACGGGGACGGGGGTCGGTTAACCGATACCGAACCCAGTCCTCACCCTCCTCTTGGACGTCCCCGACAGCACGGCCCTGAGACCCGTGCAGACAGCTTCGAGGTGGCTCGGCCGGGCCTCTTCGCGAGGCGCCGGTGGCACCACCGCGCCCACCGACGGCCCTGGAGAGGCCCCTGGGGGAGGCCCCGCGAGAGCCCCACAGAGCCATGTGGCTTCAACGAGCCTCGGAAGCCAAAGGCCTCGAAGAGAATAACATGTCCTGAGTCGCCTGACCTCGCACGTCGCGCCGATCGATGCGCGACGCGCGGTAACATTCACGCCCTCGCGCCCTCGCGCCGCCCCTCGCTGGAGGAAGGGCGGCCGCTCTGCCAGCGCGGTTGTCTCCGCGTCCCTGGGGTGAGCTGCATGGGTCATGCTTATGGCCTCCCACTCTTTGCCGCCCACGGGCTCCTGCCTCCTTCTTGGCAAGAAGCTCAGTGGCGACCGTGTGGACCTCCCCCTGGCTCTTGGGTGTTTTCTCCTGCCCCCGTAGGCTCTTCTGGGCTCTCCTGATTGGCGCTGCTTTGCCTTATTTGGCCTGGTATGTAAGCAGCGCAATGCGATGCAACATAATGCCATACAACTGATGTTCCACGATATGCTGTGCTGTGCTGTGCTATGCCGCGCTGTGCCACGCTGCGGTACGCTAGAATATGCAACGAACTGGTATACGGTGCAGTGTGATACAATCATGTACTACGCAACCATATGCAATGTATGTATGGATGCGCGTATACGCTATCATATGATAATTACGCAATGGTACGCAATGATATGCAATGTCACTGCGTGTGCAATGCAACGACCCACCGTGCTACAGTATGCCATGGCATGCCGCGCCGCACAATGATACTACGGGGTGCGACTTCATGCTTCACATTGCGAATATGCACCACATTGCGAATATGCACCACGCTTCACAAAGAAATGCAGTTCGTGCAATGCCATGTTAAGCCATACGCCGCTATGTGTTGCGATGAATGCAACGCGACGACATTAGTGCTCTGTGCACTGTTAGCTTAACTATCCCAGGCAACGCAAGGGGAAGTAATGCTGGGCGCTGACACGCTGCGCGCTACGCTCGCCCAAGAAACGCTTTACACTGAGATGGATTGGCTAGCCATGCTAAGGCACGCTACACTATACTATGACATGCAATTCCATGCAATGGCCATGTTATGAATATCACTGAAACGCAACACTTTAGAAGCTAGCGTATGCCAAGCGGTGGTGTGCAATGCTCCGCAATGCTTTACAACTCTCTGCGTTACAGCTCATTGCGCCCTATTGCGCAGTATACATATGTTGATAAGAAAAGACACCCATAATCAGGGTCGCACTGGCCTATGATGGCTTCAGGAGGGCTTCAAGGCCCCAAGACGGTTCAAGTAGGTATTGAGAAGCCCCCGAGGTGGTCGAGGACGGCCTCAAGAGAGCCCCAACACGGCCACGGGCCACCCAAAGACAACCCGAAACCGCCCTGAACCAGCTCTGAGACAGCCTCCATGCCGACCCGGGACGACCTTCACCAAGCTCGGGAGCTCAGCCACCGGGTCGACACATTCTGAGCACCAAGGAGCGAGCTGGACGGACGAATCGCGGTCCGTCGTGCCCGAGGCAGGCCAAGAGCATACGAGGGGCTGGCGCCGTGGCAGAGACGTGCTGGAAACGCCGCAGTACCAAGGTGGGCCCATGGCACAGAGAGGTGCAAAAAAATAGCTCGATGCAGCGCTGGCGCGGCGGCAGGGCTTGCCACAAACAGCTGGATGGGCTGACACACCGTGACTGAAATCTGACATGCCAGAGCCTGCGCAAACAGACGGTCGGACGCACGAAAGCTGAACAGGGGAGAGCGATTGCAGAAAGGATGGCGAGACCAAATCAGAAAAGCGAATGCAGAGGAGACGTGGTGGAGATAGACAGAGCGTGGGAATGGAAAGAAAAGAGAAGGCATACAGCATCTCCAGCCGCGAGACGACTGGATAAATCGACAAACAATCCACGCGAAGGCGGCAGCAAACATCCGTCCCGCTTGACATGACAATCTCGAGGTTGGACAAACCTGCACGGGTGGCTCCGAACCACATCACGGTCAACCAGAGACATTCCGCAAACGCTGCTTCCCTCCCAGCTCAGCAACCAATTTGGTCGTGGATGTGACACGGGCGTTGCCAGAAATTGTCAAGACGTGGCAAAGGCGGGCGAGGCAAAGGGAGCGGGTAAACGGAGGTGAACAAGAAGCTCGGGGAGGAAAGATGGGATGGGACGCGACGAGGAGGATAAAGAGGAACATGGCTCCGAAACAAAAATCATGTTGCCCTAGAGGTATCGAAAGCGGTACCCAACCGTACCGTTCAATGTGGCACACGCTCAATGAACTTGAGCTCGTTCATGTGGCACACGCTCAATGCGGCACACGTTAAATGTTGCACATATTCAATGAAACAGGACAGCTCGCCATCGCACACGCAACCTGGAACCAAGACTGCGAGTTGAACTCCGCCCACGCTTTGATCGTGACACTGGCCCGCAGAACTGTAAATGACTCGATGAACCCGTTGCGACTACAAGTAGGTGCTCTCTCCTGTGAAGAGAGGCGCTTTGGCAGACGACAAGCAAGGGGACAATGCCCTGCGCGACGCAATGCACCGCAACGCAATACGATGCAACCGACCCATTGCAAATCCATGCACAACTAACCATCCACTGCAACGCAAGCCTCTTTCATAAATCCTCTAGCACAAGAGAAAATAACTCTGCAATGCAAGCCAAGTAAAAACAGTACGACACCGTGGAACCTGTAACAGAGCGCACATCAAAGCAACGCATGCGCGACCTTTTTCAAGTCAGTGGCGCAGAGGGTCCTCAGGCGCGAGCAGCGAGCAGCAGGTGGAAGTGCGAATCGCGATCGAACATTGTCGAAAGCATAGAGTGCAAAATCGTGCGCTCTGATAAGGTCCCGGGGCCCGTCGAGGGCCCCGGAAACCCGAAAACGGCCAAAAAAACTCAGGACTTCCTCGCCCTCCTCTCCTCCTCCTCCTCCTCCTCCTCCTCCTCCTCCTCCTCCTCCTCCTCCTCCTCCTCCTCCTCCTCCTCCTCCTCCTCCTCCTCCTCCTCCTCCTCCCCTCCTCCTCTCCCCTCCTCCTCCTCCTCCTCCTCCTCCTCCTTCTCCCTCCTCCTCCCCCGCCTCCCCCTCCTCCCCCTCCTCGCCCTCCCCCTCCTCCTCCTCCTCCCCCTCCCCCTCATCCTCCCCCCCCTCCTCCCTCCTCCTCCTCCTCCTCCTCCTCCTCCTCCTCCTCCTCCTCCTCCTCCTCCTCCTCCTTCCCCTCCCTCCTCCCCTCCTCCTCCTCCTCTCCTCCTCCCTCCCCTCATTCTCCTCCTCCTCTCCCTCCATCCCCTCCTTCCTCCTCCTCCTCCTCCCCCTCCTCCTCCTCCTCCTCCTCCTCGCTTCCTTCGTGGCGAGACCCGATGGGGAAAGGGCCTCCGACGGCTGCGCCCGGCCGCCCGCGCGCCCCGCCTCCGCCCGTGGCCGCGGCGGGGGGCCCCCGCCGGGGCCCTGCGGAGGGCGCGCCCGCAGCTCTGCTTGCAGGCGGCGGCGTGGCTGACGGGGTACTTTTTGAGCAGGGCCTCGCGGCGGCGAGCGAGGCGGGGCCTCGTCAGCGAGCAGGGCCTCTCCCTCGGCCCCTCCCCCCTGCCCTCCCTCTGCCCCTCCCCTCGCCTCCTCTTCCTCCCCCCCCCCTTCCTCTTCCTTCTCTCCGCCCCCCTCCCTCCCCCCCCCCCGCCCCACCTCGTCCTCTCGCCGACCTCGCGGCAGCGAGCAGGGCCTTTCGGCAAGGAGAAGGCCTTGTCAGAAGGCGGCGGGACTTCTAAGAAGCCCTCGCCCCTCCCGAGAGGCTCGTTGCGCCTTCGGGGGAAGCTCAGAGGACTTCTCGGGAAGCTGGGGGACTTCCGAGCCTTCCGAGAAGGCCCGCCGCCCCTTCTCACTTCCCCCCCCCCTCGCTCGCCGCCGAGCCTTCGCGGCGGTGAACCCCCAACTACCACCCCAGGGGCCGAACGCTCTGGAAAAGGAGTTGGAGCGGCCACTTCTGGGCCGTGCTAGCCCTCCGGGTGCCCTCGCCGGGCCTGGGGGCCGGCAAGAAACGACTCGGGACGAGAAGCCGGCCCTGGGGAAGTCGTCCAGACCTCTGGGGCCCATAAAGGGAAAAAAATGGAGCGGCTGCATGCCTGGGACTGCCCTGGTATCTGAGATACGGCGAGCGTGCCACCAGCAGGAGCGTCAAAGAGGGAGCGAAGGGCTTTCTGCCCCGCCGCGGCGAGCCTCGGCCGCGAATAGGTCATCCGACCAAGATCTAAGGCTCTAAGGAACGACCGAGTTGCCACTGCCCTTTTTGTTAATGGAACTTGTCTCATCAAACGCCAGGTGCAGTTCGATTGCGCTATCGTCCTTGGCGGACTTATGCTGGACCCCAAAAGAGACTGCGGAACGGGAGACCAAGACTCATGCAAGAAACTTCCCCATCACTCCGCGGCTGCATGAAGGCTGGCATGTGCAGAACGGCTTTTGAACGAATTCACCGTGTCACCACCAGGAACGCTCAATCCACCGACCCTTCGGCGTGCGTAGATCGTCGTCGTCGTCGTCGTCATCGTCGGTCCCAGGGATACCGAGGAACAAAGCAAAGGAACTTCGTAGCGCAGTGAAGTCGGAGGGAAGCCCCTTCCCTTTATCCCTTCCCTGCTGGGGTGCGGGGGGGTAGAAGAGAGGCTGCGGGGGGGGGGATCCCGTGCCAGAATACCGCCTTTTTGTTGTTGGGATCCCGGCGGGTCCCGGAGGGGGGGTCGCCAGCGGGGATCCTGGGGGGAGGTCCCGCCTGCAGGGTCGGCGGCACCGGCCGCAAGGCCTTCGCTATGGTGAGCGGCGTCTTGGGAGGGTTTGGGGCTGTCGTAGAGCCATCTTGGACGTCTTCGGGGCCTCTTGAGGCTCTCTTGGCCATCTCTAGGGCCCGACCGCCGTCCCCGACGGCGTCTTGGAAGCCTCCGGGAACTCTCTGGGAGGCCCGGCGCGCCCATGGGGAGTCGAGGCAGCTGGCCGGGGGCCTCTGCAGAGGGCGCCCGCAGGCCCGGCGCGCCCATGGGGAGTCGAGGCAGTTGGCCAAAGGTCCCGATCCCTGTAGCCCAGTACATATATATATATATATATATATGTATAGCATGCACATGCATATATATATATATATATACATATATACATACATACACACATATGTGCACATAAATAAGGTGCAGGATTATAAATAAGGTGCAGGATAAATAAGGTGAACATGCACATAAATAAGGTAGCCCAGTACATATATATATATATATATATATATGTATAACATACACATGCATATATATATATATATATGTACAGATATATATAGATATACATACATATACATACATACACACATATGTGCACATAAATAAGTTGCAGGATTATAAACAATTGGTTTTCTAAACACCTAATCACACAATCAGTTGTACTCATGTTCACAGTATGCATTGTATCAACATGTTGTGTACAAGGTTTACACTCACATATCTATGTATAAAAGATGTGTGTATGTATGTATGTATGTATGTATCTATGTATGTGTGTGTATGTGTATGTGTGTATGTGTGTATGTGTGTATGTATGTATGTATGTATGTATGTATGTGTGTGTGTATGTATGTATGTATGTATGTATGTATGTATGTATGTATGTATGTGCACATATGTATATGCAGTGCAAGCATGCGTACATTATAATGTGTAAAATAAACCGTACATGGTTGATGATACATGTATAGCAGGTTCATTATGTTGTAGGTGTATTATTAAACAAACATACAGCTACACGTAGATGCCTGTGTATGTGTATAAACATATGTTCATACGCACCTCTCCGAGGGAGTAGAGCTCAGAGGCGATTAATGCGCACGTCGTCCGCGATTGTTCTGGCCGTTTCGCTCGGGACATCCTCGAAATTCTGAAAATCGGTGGCACCCCTCACGCAGATCGTGACGTCAGGGTCCAAAAACACATGGGAATTTGAACATGTTAACATAAAACCTTCAAACACACATGGTAATTATAATAAGTTTGACCCCGATTCTCAGAGAATGTCGGTTTCGCATGAAAAAATCCTCCCAAATCGAGCCCCAGACTCCTCCTCGGAGCCTCCTGGGGGCCTCCTGGAACCTCCTGGGGCCTCCTGGGGCTTTCTGGACCTTCTGGTACCCCAGACCCCGCCTCGGAGCCTCCTGGAGTTCTCCTGGGCCTGCTGAGGCCGCCTGGGGCCTCCTGGGGCCTCCTGGGGCTTCAGAACTACATGCACACACAGAGACACAAATCACGCCCAACACATCACACGCTAGACAAACATAACATACACACACACAACACCGACAACACACAAAAAGCACGCACCACACAAAGCACACATCACACACACACAACACTCACAATCCTGGGGCCTCCTGGAGCCTCTTCTGGTATCCAAGTCGGGCCTCCTGAGGCTTCCTGGGGGGCCCTGGTACACACATCGCAAGGTGTGGCAACCCCACTTGCGCTCGAGTGCGACTTCGCTGTTGCATGTCACTCCTGCTTCAAACGCCCCTTCAGCTTGTTGTATGAGCCTGGGCACACACGTGCCACTTGTATGTATATAAATATGTGTGTATGCGTGTATATATAAGCAATGTGCATATATCTAAATACATGCTGACATATACCGAGTACAATTGCGTATACACATAAGTACTTACATAGTTGCCTACAACAACACAATCAGATGTGTATGCGTATAAACTTTATGTTATGTGTACATGTATGTGTGTATGTAGGTGTGTATGCAGGTGTGTATATGTATATGTATATGTATATCTATACGTGTGTGCATGTATGTTTTGCACCACGCTGGAGAAGTGGAATGGCACCGAATCCCGCACCTCGCGCCACCCCCCCCTCTCCCCCCGAGTCCCAGCCCTATCAGGAGGTTATTGCTGAGGAGTCTGCGAGAGGGGTGCTTTCCGAGACAAGTCAGCTTGCTCCGAGGTTGGATGCGCTGCATGGTTCGTTCCTATGCATGATGGAAGCTGATTCGTGTCACAGTTATCAGGTGCGTGATAGGGAGCGTGTTCAAGGGAGGCCCGGGGGGCCCTAGGTATGTCTGGAGGCCTGCAGGAGGGCTACCCATTCGGGGCAAGCCAGCTAGTGTGCCAGAGGTTCGCCTGGTCAGGGACGTGGCTCAATATGTAGCCGATGTCGCAGTGGCCTCGGATAGGCCCACGTGCATCGGGCAGAGGGCACAGAGGCTCCATCGGGTTTAAAGTCGGGGGGCTTCGGGACGTCCGCACCGAGACTGGGCTGATGTTGTTCCAGGGTCTCCCCCTCCTGCTGGATGCTGCTGCTGATGCCTGCCCGCTGCCCGTGGCCTATTTTGGCTCTTACGACCGCCTTCAGCGCTCGCGTGCACTTCTGTCCTCGCTCGCTGACGCAGTCCACGCACGCGCGGAGTCTCTGGAGTCCGCTGCCGCTGCTGCCAGACGGGCCGCTCTCTCCAAGTGGGCCAACAACGCGTTGGTGATCTCGCCCACTCAGGTATTTAAATACGCGGAGATGCGCGGCTGGAGTCAGTCGGAGACCACTCCTGATGCTGGCCGTGGCGAACGCTCCGTCTCCCAGGCCCACGCGGTGGCTGACGGGCAGATGGATAAGTGGCGAGGTGCGCGGGGCGGCGAGTCGCTCGAGAGAGACATTCAGGGGGGGTGCCCGAGGCGGGTGCTGAGTTTAACGTCGGCCACCTGCCCCCCCCCCCTGGCGACGGCGAGGAGGAAGGCGAGCTGCATGATCTGCTGCGAGGCCCGCCCAGCACGAGTCTGCCTGTCCCGCGGGTCGAGGACGTGAGGCGGGTTGCGCGCTCATTCCATGGCGCACGGGTGCTGGCGTGGATCGTATCTCCTTCAGGGCTTTCGCTCTCCTGGCCGACGAGGCGCCCGCTTCCATGGTCTACCTGATGTGGGCGACCGAGACATGGCACAGATGGCCGAGCCAGATGATGCCTGCCCACGTCGTGCTACGGAGCAGGGCTGCGGGCGGCTTTCGCCCGATCGTCCTGCTACCATCGGTCCATCGCATCTGGGCCAAGGTGAGATTGGTTCATTTGAGGGGATGAGCGCGAGACCACATGCGACCGCACTTCGCCATGGGCACGAACACGACCATCGGTCCATCGCATCCGGGCCAAGGTGATATTGGTTCATGTGAGGGGATGGGCGCGAGACCACGTGCGACCGCACTTCGCCATGCGCACGAACACAGGCGCACAGTCGGCGCGGCGCCACGCCTGCTCGTCAGGACGGAGAGGCGGCTGCTCGCCGCCCCGACCCTGCGGCGGTCGCGGCGCTGGCTGGCATCAACAGCCTGTGCTTTGATCGGGTTGCGTGGCGCATGCTCGCTGAGGCTGCTGGACGCTACGACTTCCCGCCTGCCATCCCGCGCATGGCGATGCTCGTGTACAACGCTCCGAGGCGGCTGTCGCGGGCGGGGGCCTTCTCCTACCCCGCGAGGGTACCGAGGGGTGTCCTGCCTGGCTGCACGGACGCCACGTTCTCTCTCCAGCTGCTCTTCCTCGCGCCGCTGGACGCTTTCATGGAGGTCACAGGGCGCACCCCTCGATCCCTCGACGTCTATGCCGACGACCTGCCACTGAAGATAGTCATGAGGAGGGACGACATTGCGACGGTTTCGGCTGAGACGCTGGCTCTGCTGGCGGACACGCTACGTGAGTTGGAGCTTCCCACTGCTGTGCACAAGGCAAAAGTTTTGGCTTCTGACCTTCCCCTGGCCACGGCGGTTGCCAGTCGTGTTCGGAAGCACGGTTTCAAGCCAGTTTCGGTGTTCTCGGCGCTGGGCGTGGAGGTGGCAAGCGGCAGGAGGCGCCGCTGCTCGACGGTCAAGAGGAGGTCGCGCGCTGCGACGGCCAGACTTCCTCGATTCCGACGCCTTCGGGGTTTAAGGGCGAAGACCTTCAAGCAGGTATTTATGCCATCGATCGGCCCAACGGTGACCTACGGCTTGCAGGCCACGAGTGCACCCCCGCACGTCGCCAAGCGCCTGACGGCGCGTGCGCGCGAGAGCTGGTCGAAGACGACAGCCGCTTCTTCGACCTGGGTGGCCTCGATGCTCGAGCCCTCGTGGAGGCAACATCCCAACTGCCTGGCGGTGACGGGCCCGATCTACACTTAAGTCGGGCCTGTCCCCATACGGGGGGTTTAGGACGAAAAATACCCCCCCCCCCAAAAAAAACGAAAAAATAACAAATATTCCTCCTGTAGAGGGACAGGCCCGACTTAAATCTACAGCTGGGCGCGCATGGTTGCTGCTCGGGCTGCCCCCCTGGAGATGCTGTCGGGCGCCCGGCAGCTCCAGACGCCCACGGTGCTGTTGGCCAGGGACCCCTGGAAGAAGGTCACAGGGCCAGCCGGCGCGCTGGCGATCCAGCATCGCCGACCCGGCTGGATGGCCTCAGCTGCTCATCTCTGGCGCACGCGAAGTTTGTTTGGACGCCCGAAATGGGTACGGAAAAAATGGGTACAACGCCCAACAACAAATGTTGTCCCAAAACGACAGCGGCCGCTGTTGGGCAGGCGGCCTTCTGTCTCAAGTGGACACAGGCCGCGGCTGCGCGGACAGCGAGTCCTGTTCAAAATGAACAAGAACGGCTGTTGGGCAGTGTACCCATTCTTTCTGCACCCATTTCGTGCGTGCAGAATATGGCATCCACCTCGACCTGACGGGCGTGGCTCCCGCGTGGGTACGCTCGCTGGCCCCACGCGACTCCGAGCTGGAGGGCGGGCGGCAGCGGTCTCGGAGGGTCGAGCAGGCCCCCGGAGATCCTGAGCAGCGCGTGCCTGGAGCCGCAGGTGGGTACTGGCTCGACCCGATCCGTGCTCTTTTCTCCGACGCCTCTTGCCCTCGCCGCCCTTCGCTCCACGATGATCTGAGGGCAGTGGTCTCAGCAGCGCCTGTTTCGGCACGGATATTCCGAGTTTCAAGGTCGTCAGGCCCGCGGTGCGCGCCCAAGGAGCAGCTTGCGTCATCGTCTATATGTTGCTGCCCTCGGTGCGAGGAGGCTCTGCAGGAGGCACTGGATACCGCTCACATCGAGCGGGCTCGTGCGGCCCCGTCGCAGCGCCCTTTCTCTTTCAGCGCTGTCTCTTTCCCAGAGCCTGGCTGCCAGAGCTCAGGCCCCCTCTCCCCGACGGAGAGCTGGGGGTACAGTCGGGCTGCTGAAATAAGGAACGCTAAATCAGGAACGAAGCCCCTCTGTGGCTTCAAAAAACCCTGGGTGCACGAGAAGGGCTAGAGGAACAACCACGGAAGGACGTAAGGAACATCGAGCCCCTTCCGAATCTAAACTGTTCCTTATTTCAGCGTCTTGGCTGTACTTGCGTCGCCATCAGGGTTCTCTGGATGTCACTGGTACGGTTTTCACGGACGGTGTGGGCAAGAGCCTGGCCTTGTGGCCCGAATCCGCCAGAGCGGGGTGGGGATCTGCTGTCTTTTTTGGCCCCCGTCTCATGGGACAGGCCTTCGGCCCCTTGCCAGGCCACCAACAGAGTGTCCCGAGGGCCGAGCTGTTCGCGATTTTGAAGGTGCTCCAAGTGGTGCGCTTCCCTCTTTTGATTAAGTCGGACCACTTGCCAGCGATCGATGCCATCAACCTGAGAGGTCGGGAATGATGCCTCGATCCCTCTCTTTAGAATTGAAGCATTTGGCGTCAGATCTGGCACGCCATCGATGATCACGGTGGCGTGGAGCACGACGGTTTGGCTTTCGAGTGGGTTTAATCACATCAGACAGAGTGGTCTCTGGACAAGGTCGGCAATGATTTTGCGGACGGGGCCACTAAGAAAGGGTTGGAATGTCACGAGCTGTCGGAAAATGTGGTGAATGCTCGTACTGCTGCCCTCCTCCTCCTCCTCCGACAGGTCTCGTGCTGGATAGCTCAGTCGCAAGAGGCCCTGGCTTCAGGTGCCCTCAGGCCTGACGGAACGAACACGCCCTTGAGGCGGAAGCACGCCAAGCCATCCCGCCTCCGCCATCGTCCTCCTCCCCCTCCTGCCGCCGCCTGTCACCGTCCTGTTTCGACTCGGGGCAGGTGGCAGTGCTCGATGTGCCCTGCCTCAGTGCGCACCGTCAGAGGCAGGGCGCAGGTTGGCTCGCACGGAATGCGCGACGGCGCAGCGAGTCGCTGCCCTGCAGGCGCGCGCCCCGCCGCCTGCCGGCGCGCCGTCGTCGCCGTGCGGGGGCGGAGCCTGGCCAGGGCCCGACCCCGAGAGGAGCCCGTGCCCGAGTGCCCTCGCCGATGCGTCCGAGTTCGCATGTGTGTTTCGGGCGACTGGCGGCCGGGGTCCGCTTTGAGTCGGATGGTCGCCCGTCTCCCGACGAGGTGGTCGAGAGTCTCACCCGTCCCCGCGAGCCGGCACAGGACGCCGGGTCGCTGGCGAGGCGACCCCGTGCTTCTGGTTCCTGGGGCTCCGAGGCGTCGGCGGGTCGTTTCTGCTCGGTGGCCCTGGAGCTCTCGGACATCATCCCGATCTCGCAGTCGCGGGGTCACGAACTGTTCGTCTGGAATTACTGTAGCTTGCCGTCGCTGCGGCTCGTGCTGTGAGGGGGGTAGTCAATCCAAGGTGTTCGAGGTCTGCAGGCCAGGGCTGCCCTCGCCGCTGCAAGAGAGGCCGCATCTTCGACAGGAATCTGCACCCGCGGGTGCCCAAACTGCACATCGCCACCCCTGCCCCCCTCAGGTACTTTGACGAGGCTGCGGTGTGGCTCGGGCTCCTTTAAGCCCGCCTCTTCCACTTTTCATCATGGCATGTTATGCCCTCGGATAGGTGCTGGCCGTGATGGGGTCCCTCTGATTCCCTGGGTAAACCCTCGTCGTCGGCAATATCTGTCGATTGAGGGCTGTGCATCTCTGCTCTTCCATAGCTACGCTCCTTCCGTCACCCAAACTCGGCACGCTCTTCTATCTGGGTCCGTCCTCCTCGTCCTCCTCCCTCCCTCCCTCCCTTTCCCTCCCCTCCCCCCCATCCCCTCCCCTCTCCCCCTCCCTCGCCTCCCCTCCCCTCCCCTCCCCTCCCTCCCTCCCTCCCTCCATCCATCCCTCTCCTCCGCCTCCTCCTACGCCTCCTGCTCCTCCTCCTCCTCCATCTCCATCTCCTCCTCCGCCTCCTCCTCCTCCTCCTCCTCCCTCTCCCCGGGCCGTTGTGTATCCCCTCAAGGGGATACACAACGGCCCGGGGACCACACAGTCCAGTAATTTCGTCAAACTGTCGCCTAACGCTGGGCAACACCAGCGGTTCCATCAAGGTAGGGTGCGGAGGTGACTCGTCGCACCTGGCCAACTGATCTCTCTACTCCCACAAAACCCCTTGCCGCCTCGCAGATCTCGTCCGCCACCACGCTTTCCGAGGCAGGCGAATCACGTGCCAATGTTCGGCGGCGCATCTGGCGGGCGGGGACAGCAGGGAATGAGGTGGAAACTTCGGCAGAAAGGAAACAACCATACTGCCTCTGGTGATGAGGTAGTTACAGTGACAGCAGCAATTGCAGAGGCAATGGCAGTCGTAAAGACGGTGATCTCCTCCTCCTCCTCCTTCTCCTCCTCCTCCTCCATATCATCATCAGCAGCATCATGATCATCCTCATCATCTTCATCAGCAGCATCCTCATCATCCTCATCATCCTCATCATCCTCATCATCCTCATCATCCTCATCATCCTCATCATCCTCATCATCATCCTCATCCTCATCATCCTCATCCTCATCCTCATCAGCATCAGCATCAGCATCAGCATCAGCATCAGCATCAGCATCAGCATCATCATCATCAGCAGCATCAGCATCAGCATCAGCATCAGCATCAGCATCAGCATCATCATCGTCATCGTCATCGTCATAATAATAATAATCATCATCATCACCATCACCATCACCATCACCATCACCATCATCATCATCATCATCATCATCATCATCATCGTCATCGTCATCGTCATCATCATCATCATCATCATCATCATCATCATCATCATCATCATCATCATCATCATCATCATCATCATCCTCTCCTCCGCCTCTTCCTCTTCCTCCTTCTCCTCCTCTTCCTCCTCCCTAGCGGCCGTCCTTCTCCCTCAACCTGCGTCCTCCTCCCCCACACCACAATCACTCAATATGAACACGTATCCACCCCTTCCCCGAAGACGTGCTGAGAGTATCCGCCCCCCTTTGCCTCTCGCCTCTTGAGGCACTCTCGCAGCAACGCTTCTAGATCCAAGTCCTTCCTCACCGTTGTCGCCCCTCCGTTCCCCTCCTTCGCCTTCCCCTGGTCCTCCTGCTCCTGACGCTCCTTTCACTCCAAATCATGCCGGTGTTGCTCGGCCTCGCTCTCCTCCTTCCTCACCCTCCTCTCGGCGGTGGACAAACCTCCCTTTAGCAAAACTCCACTTCACGAAAACTGCACAGGACCGAAACCGACAGACCCGGACCCGCAAAAACGACGGCCGCGACGCTCTCTGGCAAACCGAAAACGGCCAATTCACTATATCGACGTGTCAGGGCAGGAGGTCTATCAAACTCCGATCCTCATATCGACTACACGCAAGAGTGAACCTGGGTAAGAGTGACCTTTGGTGCGCGGCTGTTTGGGGGGCGTGGGGGGACTAAACACAAGCGCGCAAAACGCTACTACCGCATCGCGTTCAGCGATCGGGGGACCCCGTTGGGCCCGCACCAAAGGTCACTCCAGTGAAAGGTCACTCTTACGTGTAGCCGATCCTCATATTCCTCCTGCCCATCCTCCTGTTCATCCGGCACACCCCCCCATGTGCGCAGCTCCCCGTTCTTTCGACTGCGCACAGCAGGGAACAAAAATGGAACGGAAGGAGGGCTAGGATGTCGGGTATGGCGCCAGCGCACATGGCATGTCCTCGTCCCCTCTCTCCTCCTTCCTCCTCCCCGACAAGTGTCCCCATCCCTGGAAGCCTCCTCCCCGTTCCTTCCTCTTCCGACTCGTCGTATCCCATTCCTTCTCTCCCTCCCTCATCCCGTCTCCATCCTCCCGCATCCTCGTCCTGCCTCCTCCGTCCTCTATCCTCCTCCCGGGCCTCTCCTCTCACTGAGTCGAAGTGAGGGCGTCGGAGGTGCAAGGCGAGCACCTCGCTCAATACATCCCTACAATTTGGGCGCGACCGAGCGAGTGTCATATCCCCTGGCGGCCCCCTTGCGGTACTGAAGGCAGCGCATCCCCCGAGACATCCTCGCGATCTGCTCTGAGAGCAGATGAGCTCGAGGCGCCGAAAACAGACAAACCACCCGAGACATCCCCACATTCTGGCCGCGAACTGGCAAGTGCCCTGCCCCCTGGCGGCTCCCCTCTGGGGTGCTGCAACCAGCGCCTCGCCCGAGAGATCCTCACGATTTGCTCTGAAAACGAGCCAGGCCAACCAAACAAGCAAACCCAAGGCTGAACCTAAACGGTATTTTTCGTTTTCGTTTTGTGTTCGTGTTCCCTCGGTTTTGTCTCGAATCCGCCTTTTTCCCGCAAAACGAAATCGAAACGAAAACGGCCCACGAAATCGCCGAAAACACCGTTTAGGTCCAGCCCTGAGCAAACCGACTGAAACATCCCCAGTCTGGCCGCGAACGGGGCCGTGCAACCACCCCTTGCAGTTCCCCAGTCAGGGTGCTGAAGCCAGCGCCCCGCTCGAGACATCCTCACAATTTGCAGTTCTGCGTGCGAGCGCGTCACGAATCCAAGTGCGAATGAAGCTGACTTTGAGAGACTCTGAGCGTGAGCGACTCTGGGTGTGAGCGAATCTGAGTGTGAGCGAGTCTGAGTATGAGTGAGTCTAAGTGCGAGCGAGTCTGACTGTGAGTAAGTCTAAGCATGAGGAAATGTCAAAAATAAGTCTGCGTATGGGTGGGCCTGGGTGAGGATGAGAAGGAGGTGAGTGAGTATGGGTATGAGTGAATCTCAGTATGAACGAGTCTGGGCATGATCAAGTCCCACTGATGAAGGGGGCAATGTGAGGGAGTCTGAGTGTGAGTCAGACTGCGAGTATGTATGAGTATGAGTGAGCATCCGGAAGGAAGAGAAGTGGGGAGGGAAGGGGTTGTAAGGTGCGAGTCGGCGTCTGAGTGCGAGAGAGTCTAAGCGCTGACGAGTAAGTCTGAGTATTAGTGAGTCTGCATGAATGAGGTAGGGGGAAGCGAGGGGCTGGAGGAGGGCCAAGGTGAGAAGTCGCAGGCGTCAAAGTAACACGAGAAACCCATATTAAGCTAGAGCACCTCCCCGCAAGTTTTCCTCCGGCACTCAGGATGCTCTGGCAATGGTGGAAGCCGAAACGTGCGCGCACGAAGCAAGACGATTGCACGGCACACGCACATAATTAGGCTGGCTCCCAAGAGGCGCGGGGAGGAGGGTGGGTGACGGCTGAGGCCATTCCTCACGTCATTCAAGCTTACAAGTCAAGCTAGAACTCCTCCCCGCAAGTTTTCCTCCAGCACTCAGGATGCCCCGGCAATGGCGGAAGCCGAAACGTGCGCGCACGAAGCAAGACGATTGCACTGCACACGCACATAGGCTGGCTTCCAGACCCAAACCTCCACACACAACGAGGTCATGGCACGTGCGTGCGCACCTGGGCCATGAGGAGAGGCAACAGCACAAGCACTCAGATTTTGCCACGCTCGAGCCCGTCGATGGCGCGAGCGAGCAGGCCGGGCAGCGCAGCGGCGAAGCTCGCCACGAGCTGACGCGAGGCCTGCGCCAAGTTCGGCACGAACGCCACCGCGGCCACTCCTGGATGTAAATCCCCATGGGCTCGAGCTGCCTCCACCGCCCGCGCCACTGCGTGCGAGGCAAGTCCTCGCACTTCTGGAAAAATAAAATGGCGCCGCCGCCGCGGTACGAGGCCGCGGGTCTCTGCGGCCGCGACGCCGAAAAACTGCACGAGTGCGTCATTGCAGCGGCGAAAGTGCGGGTACGAGCCTCTGAAAATCCGCTGCCCTCTCTGCTGGCCCTCAGCCAGCCTCTCCAACAGTCTGACTAAGATCACCTCATCACATCTGGCGTGCTCCATCCGCGCCACAGCCCATCGGGCCTTGGGCTGGCGGACACGCACGTAGCACACCTCATCATCCGACATCAGCTGCGACGGCAGCAGCGAGTCCGAGAAACACAAGCCACGCGCCTCGCCCGGTCGCAGCACGCAGGTGAAGGCCAAGAGGATCAGGACGGCCACGTCGGCCCAGCCCCAGCTGAGCGCCAACGCCACAAGGGCGCGCAGCACTGGCACGGGGGCGGGGCACGGGTGCCGCGTCGGCACCGCGAACTGCCACGCCTGCGCCACCTCCCACGCGGCGCCCATGTGCCTCCGCAGCGACCACTCGACGCCCACCACCGCGTTGATGGTCTCCGTGGAGTGGTTGAGGCTCCTGCCGCGGGAGTAGAGCACCTGGCCGTACGCCGCCACGACGTTGGCGACCACGCGCGGCACCTGCGCCACCAGCGCGCCCAGCGAGCAGCGTCCGTCCAGCTTCAGCAGCCACGACTCGAACTTAAGGAATAGTAGCTGTCTCATCTGCGCGGTCTTGGCGGTCGTTTGCGGCCACGGGCGAAGGTCAACCGCAGGGCGCGCCGCCGGGGCCTCGCCTGCCACGGGAGCTCCGTTCACACCAGTGATTATCATCAGCGCGAACATCATCATGAGCGCAGCGGCCGCTGTCCACGAACACGCAGCGCGCAAAGGGCCCGCGCCAAGGTAGCCGAGGGCGCTGTCGAACTCCTTCAGCTGCCACAGCTGCACCAGCTTCACGATCAAGCGGCACCACTCCGACTCAGCACGTCGTTGACGAGGTACTCGCGTCCACTGGTCCAGCTCCGAGGCCCCCAGCGCCAGCCGCAGCCCACCAGGTTGGCGGGGCGGCCGACGGCGGGGCGATCGCGCGCCCGCGCGACGGCCCGCCCGCCGGGATCAGGCGGGTCGGCGCGAAATCGTAGCCCGGGTAGACGTCGAAGCCCAGCACGTCGGGAAGCCCCAGCTCCAGGTCGTCGTTGAGCGCGCGCCAGGCCGAGCGGCCCTTGGCACGCGCTCCCAGCGCCACGGTGGAGTCCAGCAGGAAGGACTGCCTCGCACCCAGCTCCTGCCTGGCCGCTCTCGACCTGGCCCTCATTCGCGCGCGGATCTCCAGCCGGTTGATGTGCACGGCGGGCGGGCACGGGTCGCAGCAGAAGGCGCGCCAGCGGCAGCAGCGGATCAAATCATCGACGAAAGGCTGCTCCAGCCTGCCAGCTGCATCAGCCCGCGCAGGCGCCGGCTCGCTTGGCCCCCCAGCCTTCACCAGGTGCGCACGCGAGAGCTCGGCCCAGACCGCGCACAGCTGGTTGGAGTAGGCGGCGGCGGGCGAAGTGCGCGCAGCGCCCAGCAGCGGGCGGCCGCGGGCTCTCCGCCCATGCACGCAAGGCCTCGCCAGCGGCAGCAAGAAGTCGGCGTGCACCAAGCCCTGCCTCGTGGGCATCTGAAAAGGTACTCCGAACGAGCAAGCAGCGAAATCCAGCGTGCCACAGTCAGCCTTGCCGAACAGCATCTTCATCGCGGGCACGTGCCACGTGCACGCCCCAGCCAGGTGCTCGAAGGACCCGCGCGCGCCGCATGTACGAGCCGCCCAGAGGATCAGCAGCACCCTGAACAACAGCACGTTGCCAAGCTGCGCGGCCTCGTTCGCGGCGGCTAAACCCAGCGGCTGCGTCCTCGACCTCAGACGGGGCTGCCTCGCCACCGAAAACGTAGTGCAAGGTGGGGCGCAGTGGACATATGCGACCCACTCGTTCATGATCAAGAACAATACCCACTCGACGATCCTGGTGGATCGCAGGTCCCACATCGGGTGCATCTTCGGGTCGATCCGAGGTCCAACTCTCAGGCCAGCAGCAGCATGCGCCTTGGACCACGGCGCGCCCTGACCGCCGCAAATCTCAAAATGTCAAATACCTCCAGCAAGTGCCAGCGAGGCACCTTCGTGCAAGGGCGGAGCTCCTCGTCGATGTCCTGCAGCCAGGCCCTGTCCTCGGGGCGCTTGTCCACGCTGATGTAGGCCACCTCCTTGCAGTTCAGCGGAATATACCAACCCCGCTGATCACGATGTCGCCAGATCTCGCGCACGATGTGCTGCGCCACGTCGGCGACAACGGCCGACACGTTCAGGTGCGAGGCGTCGCTGCACACCACTCTGGGGGCGACCTTGGCCTTGAGTTTGGTGACCAGCGCGGGCGCGAGCATGGAGAGCAGCATCAGCCCCTGCCTCGCCCCAGCTCCCAGCGCGAAGACGTCGTCGTCGCGCGGCGCCTCCGGCAGCGCGAAACACCTCGTCCACCAGGCACATGGCAGGACGCCGAAAGCCCATGACGTGCACCAGGCTAGCCACCGACCTCCGCAGCAGGGCGCCGTCCGCAATGCCGTGTGCCGCGATGCCAGAGGATAGCAGAGCCAGACCAGCGCGCCGCGGCCTCTCCGCCCCGATATGTCCCGAGGACAGCACCTCGGCACCCAGCGCAAAGCCCCCCGCATCTCCAGCCACGCGCTTGTCGCCCAGCGCCTTCAGGCCCACCTTGGCGCACTGCTCCCGCGCGCCCGCGAGGAGGCTCACCAGCGCCGGCGGCAGCCTGCGCGAGCCCCGCGCCCGCTGCCCGATGCCGACGCGGTCGTCCATCTGCAGCAGCTCGGCGCGCGGTCCGCGCGGGAAAAGGCGGCGACGCCGAGCGCGCACCGCATCAGCCAGCGAGCCGCCCGCCTGCAGCACCGCCTCGCGCGCGCCCTACGCGAAATCGTTCGCGCTCAGATCGCCCATCAGCAAGCTGGCCACGCAGGTCACGCAGCACTCGCCCAGCTCGGCGCGCCTGGCCGCCTAGGCCCGCGTGCGCTGCAGCAGGTGGGTCGGCACCTTGCGAGCCAGCACGTTGGCGCGCGCCTTGGCCGAGGGGAGCGTCAAACGCCGGGGAGAACTCGGCGAACAAGACGGGCACGAAGTCGCCCTGCAGCTCGAAGTCGCACAGCGCGTGGCCAGAGACCAGCCGCTGGCTACCAAGACTGCAAAGCGTGCTCCGCCGCATTCCTGATGCGTCTATCCCAAACAATGCGATCACGATGCTGGTCACAATACACAGGAATCAGCTTGCAAGCTTGTCCCAGGTTCACCTCATCAAGATTGGCCAGCTACAACTTCCGCGATCGATCCAGGTCGGATGCAAAAGCCCCGACTTCTGCCGAGCTGCCTGCCTGTCGCATAGTCTTCAGGCCGTGCTCGATCGGCTGGTCCCTCTCGATCGGGCTGGGGTCCACGTACGCCGCCGCCTCGAAGACGGGCAGGCGGTGGACCGGGTCGAAGTGGGCCTCCTGCTTGCAGAGGGACGCGCGGCTGGCCGCGAAAGGCGACACCGCGAGAGGAGGCAGAGCGCGCCCGGGTTGCCCTGGCGCTGCTCCGCGAAGCTGCATAGCGAATTCGAGAAGCCCCTGTATCTTTATCTTGCCGCGGCTGCTCATGCGGTAGGGCGCGCGGCTCCACTGCTTGGCAAGGGCTAGAAGATGCGGCAGCCTGTCACGCTGCAGATCTGTCAAACCCATCCCCGTCTTGCACGAAGCAGGACACCAGCGAGTAGAGCCCAGCGCCAGAAAAGAGCAAGCGACCACCATCAAGTTCACCTGGAGCTCGGCGATCTGCAGCCGCTTCTAGCGCGCCCTGCACCGCGGGCACCGATGGCCTAAGGGAACGGCGGCGCCATCGGGAACAACTTCAAGCAGGCACGCGCCGGGGAATCCGACGGGGCACCGGAGAAATTCATGCACGAATATAAATAGAAGGCCAGACTGGTCCTGGCCTGCAGGAGGCGGCGCACGATGCCGATCTGCGCCCGCGGGACCCCCGCCGCGAGGCCCTCCAGTAAGCCGGCAGCGCCGGCTACGCGCCCTCCTTGCCGTTGCCGCCGCAGGCACCCTTCCATGGGTTGCGGGGCGGCCGCTGCTCCTCCTCGCCCTCCAGGGGGTGGTGCCACTGCCGCGGTCGTCGTTGAACTTCCGACGGGCATCGGCCAGCGAAGCTGCGCCCTTCGTGTAGGCCATCGCCGCCGCGGCCCAGGTGGGCCCCGCCAAATGCCCAAAGGCGCGCAGGCTGTCCACCGAGCCGCTGTGGCCTGACGCCATCTGCAACCAAGGCTGCTCCGGCAGGTGGGTGAGCAGCCACGAGAGCTGCCAGCGGCCGTTGTTCCTCTGCGCCTGCTCGAGCGCCGTCAGCAGCAGCAGAACAACGGCCTCGGCCATCTCGCGCTGGCCCCGCGCCATCAGGTCGGCCACGCGCGCGAGCCCGAAGCCCAGGTGCGCCGCCGTCCGGTTGCCGCGGTTGATCGAGCCCGCCCTGACGACAAACTCCTCAATGCTGCAAACGCGCGGGTCGGGGTCGTCGTTCGCCCCTGCCAAGGCCAGCTCCGTGTTGCCCCGGATCATGTTCGACCATGCGGCGGGCCTCATCTGCAAGTCCCTGCGAAGCATCTCCATGCCGGCCGCGCCTCGGGCCCCTGGCATCTCGCCAGCAACGCCTGGCCCATCGTCGAGGCCCGGCCGCAATATCCCGGCAAGCGCGTGGGGCGCGCCGCCAGCAGGGATCCGCTGCAGCTCGGCCACGGCAGCCCAGCGCGCGGCCAGCCCGGCGGGCGTCGCGCCTGCAGGCTGCGGGGCGGCTGCGCGCGGCGGGGGCGCTGCGGCGGGCGCGGCAGCGGTGGCCTGGCACCAAGTCGCGATGCCCACTGGCGACCTGCGAACCTCGCCCTCGGCGACCTCCGCCAGCTGCACGCCGCGGTGCCTCGCGAAGTCGGCGCGGGCCTGCGCGACCCGCATCGCGTTGAGCGGCATCCAGGCTCCGCGAGCAGCGGCTGCGGCGGCCGCGGGCGCGCCGAGCGGATGGTGCCCATGTCGGCCCCGGCGCGGCTGGCGGCTGCTACCCCCGCGGGCTGGCCGAAGCGAGCGAGCGGCGGCGTGCCAGCGGCGCTCAGCGCCCAAGCCACGGCGGCCCAATCTCCACCTTCAGCCGGCGGAGCACCCAGCACCTGGGATGGGCGGGGGCTGCGGCGCGCCGCGTCCCGTCGCCTAGCGGGGGCCGCAGCCAGCGGCGGGCCGCCCGCGCCAAGCTCGGCGCGCGGCGGATCGGCGTCGCCCGGCGGGGCCGCCGCCGAGCAACGGCCGCCTGCCGCCTCCGGCGCGAACACGCGCCTCAGCACGTCCTGGTTGGAGCTCTCGAGCCTCTCCAGCATCGCCGCCTGCGTCGCGACGGTGGCCCTGCCAGATCCAGCGGGCTGCCTCTGCCGCTGCGCACCGCGCCTGGCCTCGAAGGCGCTGTCGTCGTCGTCGGCGGCGGCGCTGCTCATGCGACTGCGAGCCGCGCGCGGGCGCGCGGTCCCAAGTGCCGAACTCTCGGGGGCCGGCGCGGCAACTCAGGCAGCAGTAGCGGCGGCGCCCTGCAGGCGAGCCGCCTGCGCATCGGAGATGCCGTGCTCGGGTCCAGCAGGAGGCGACCAAGGCTCCCAGCGCGCCGCGGCCGCGGCGGCGCCTGCGCCAGGGGGCGCGGTGGCGCCCGGGAGCGGTTGCCCATCGGGACCGACGACCTGATCCCCCACGCCTGGCTCGGGCTCGGGCGGCGGCCAGCGCACGCAAAGCAGGCCGCGCCACGGGCCCGAACCCAGCGCGCCGCCAAGCACCGCGTCGAGGTCCTCGGGGCTGAGCGCGTGTGCAGCCGGCGCCGGCGCGCGCGTTGCTGCAGCCCCTCTCGGCGTTGATGTCAGACTCGACCACCGTTGCAGGCAGCGCGGCCGCCAACTGCACCAGCGCGCGCGCCGCGGGCCAGCTCAGCGTCCGTCGCCCGCCCAATGGCTGCTGCCCGAAGCCGGCCCCATCCAACCCCCGCCCTCCGCGTTGACCCGCAGGAACGCGACCGTCGCCATCTGGCCGTCCTCCGCGGGCAGCAGCATCGAGGGATCGCCTAGCACCGCGAAGTGCGGGCTCAACCAAGGGCAGACATCCGCCGGCAGCGCCAGCGTCAGCACGCCTCGCACCTTGCTGGTCGGAGCGATGGGCACGGCGATGCCCGCGCCGTCCGAGACCAGGCCAGGGTGCACCACCGTGACGTCCACCTGCAGCGGCTGGTAGTCGTCCGTGAGCTCGGCCACTCGGAACTCCCACTGGAACTCCTCCGCGCTGGTCGCCTCCGCCCCGCCAAGGACTCCGAGCGACATGTCGATCAGCGCCCGCGCGGCTGCAGGCGGTCGAACACGGGAGCCGGCTCCGGCGCCTCGTGCTTGAGCGTAGCCCACGATCGCGGCCTGCTCGTCCGCGTAGCGCCGAAGTCTGGCGCCCGACGCGAAGCTGTAGCGGCCGCCTGGCAAGGTCGCCGCCAGCGCCTTCCACGCCTCGCCGCCGCCGCAGTGCACACCTCGCAGTTCGGGCAGCAGAGGGTGGCGCCACACGGCGTAGGCCCAGGACTCCGCGCGCGGGCCGCTGGGCGGGCCCG